TCTCTATGGTCAATTAATATTTGATCAAGGGGACAGGAGCATAAAATGGAGTAAAAAGAGCCTCTTCAACAAATGGTGTTGGGAGACCTGCACAGCTACATGCAAAAAAAAAAAAAAAAAAAAAAAAGAAACTCAACTGCCAACTTACACCACACACAAAAAATAACTCAAGATTGGTAGAAGACTTAAATATGGGTCACGACACAATAAAAGTCCTAGAGGAGAACATAGGGAAGAGAATTTCAGGTATTCCACAGAGTGATATTGTCACTGCTAGGTCCTCTAGATCAAGGTACATAAAGGAAAGAATAAACAAATGGGACTTCATCAAATTTAAAAGCTTCTGCATGGCTAAAGAAAACATCAGCAAAATGAAAAGGGAACCAATTGTATGGGAAAATATATTTGCCATTGATAACTAAGATAAGGCTTTTATCTTCAAAGTATATAAAGAACTCATATGACTCCACACCAGGAAGACAAACAACCCAATTAAAAAATGGGCAAAGGACATGAACAGACACTTCTCCAAGGAGGACATACACAGGGCCCAGAGACATATGAAAGGGTACTCAGCATCACTAGCCATCAGAGAAATACAAATTAAAACCACAATGAGATGCTACTTCATACCAGTCAAAGTGGCCATCATCAACAAATCAACAAATAACAGGTGCTGGCAAGGCTGTGGAGAAAAGGAAACTGTAGTACACTGTTGGTGGGAATGCAGACTGGTGCAGCCACTGTGGGAAACAGTTTGGAATTTCCTCAGAAAACTAAAAATGGAATTGTCTTTTGACCCAACAATCCCACTGCTGGGATTGTACCATAAGACTCCTGAGACACCAGTACAAAAGAAACTATGCACCTCAATGTTCATAGCAGCACAATTTACAATAGCCAAGTGCTCGAAATGGCCTATGTGCCCATCAGTAAATGTGTGGATCAAAAAACTGTGGTACATTTACACAATGGAATACTATGCAGCAGAAAGGAAGAAGGATCTCCTACCTTCTGTGACGGCATGGATGGAACTGAGGAGCAATATTCTAAGTGAATTAAGCCAGGTGGTAAAAGACAAATACCTATAAGTGGAACCTAAACAAGAAAACAAACAAGTGAGCAAAATATAAACAGAGACATGGAAATAAAGAACAAACTGACAGTAACCACATGGGAGTCAGGATGGGAATAATAGGACAAAGAAGGAGAAGGGTCATCAAGGAACATATATAAAGGACCCACAGTCAAAGACAATGATGGGGGAAGGATTGAATGTAAGAGGTAGCAGTGGGTAGGGCAAGGGAGAGTAGTGGGGGAAAATGGGGACAACTGTACTTGAACAACAATAAAAAAATAAAAATATTTAAAAAATAATTAGAAGTGAAAGCCTGAGAACAATTAATTTGAATGGGAAAATTGATTGGTTTCTGCCTGATTTCAGGAACTATAGCCTTGCTGAGAGGCAAGAGGGCCCCAAGGGTGGAGCTAATAAAGGAGACCTTGGGAAAATAGGCCACTGAGGAGATAAAACCTGTCCCCAGGCAGGGGCACAGCCCTTGCCTCCCTCACATCAGGCTGTTTGGCCCTAGAGGATGGCTGGTTAGTCAATGACAAGTAAGACCTCTTGATGGCAGGGGCAACCTAAGACAGGCACAATCGCATAGCAACCATTATGGGAAGGACTTGGGAGACAGGGAAAAAGGGCAAAAGACTCCCCCTACTTTGGCTTTGTTATGGCCAGAGTCCTCATTCTATTTGTAAGAAGTCTCATTGTGTCTTTACTGCTCTGTCCAGCCACCTGGTCAGTCAGTGAAACAATCGAAAGGCAGGTACAGCCCTGAACTGGATCTGGCAGTTCCCAGGGACAATTAAGCCTGGAAAAGGAATGCACTAAATCTTATGAAACTTAATTTGCTAAGAATGCCCTTGAGTTAGTGAATACTGTTGTTGGGGACCCCTTTGTGAGGCATTGGGAACTGTAACCCTGCAAAAGAATACATTGTATCCACTGAAGCTTGCTCTGCTTCCCACTGCCCTGATAAGGAAAAACCAGGTGTTTTACTTCACAACAAGGAGATCATTTCTAAGCCCTGAAAACTGTGCCTTAATGAGCATCTGGTGCCAACTTATCTGATGGACCTTGATTTAAACAAACCTCTGTATTTCTTCAATTTATTATCTATAGTCTTTTCATTTAGATTGATAGGTTTTGTAAGCATGCTGTAAACCCTTGTGCATATCGTTCTCAATAAAAACCACTTCTAGGGAAGGGCTCGGGGTGTTCTCTGCTAGAAGGAATCACCAGCCCCTTTTTCTGACAGGCAAATTGTACCTGGTATAGTTTATTTCCCCATCCGTGGTGACCCAGAGTGGCTCTGTGGGACCAGAGCCCCTTCCCCCTACAGGCAGTGGTAGGAACCAAAGAAAATTTAGTGGAAAATAGTCATCTGAGCCAGAGCTAGCTAAATAATTTGCAGAGTTCAGTGCAAAGTGAAAATCTTCAGTTTTTTGTTCAAAAAAGAACAAAAGTATGTCTTACATGGAAAAGCCATTTCCTTTCTCAGTCTCTCTACTTGTCTGATTGTTTTTTGTTATTTAATAACATCCTAAATAAAGAAAAATAAAAAAGGAAAAGAATGTGCTACATTTGCATGATAGAATACTACTATGCCATAAAAATAGGAACTCTTACTCTTTGGTACTATGTGGATGGACCTGGAGAGTATTATGCTAAGTGAAATAAGCCAGTCAGAGAAATACAAGCACCATATAATTTCAGTAATATGTGGAATCTAATGAGCAAAATGAACTAACAAGCAAAATAGAAACAGACTCACAGAGAGCATGCTGACAGTTGTCAGGGCGTGGAGGCTGAGGTGAAGATAAGGGGGATGGAAAAAAGAAAAAAGAAACTCACAGACATGGACAATAGTGCAGTGATTGCCAGGGGGTGAGTTGGAGCAGGGGGAGGTTGAGGAGGATATAAGGGGCATAAATGGTAATGGAAGGAGACTTGACTTGGGGTGATTAACAGATAATAAAATATAAAGATACTGTGTTGTAGAATTGTGCACCTGAAATCTGTATAATTTTGTTAACCAGCGTCACCCCAAGAAATTCAATAAAAAGGAAAAAAATTAAAAATAAATTTAAAAATCTGCACAGTGAATTTTATTCTAATTAAAAATAAATTTAGCACTTGGCCTAGAACACAAGGAGAATTTGATGGTTCACATGTCAAAAATGCAAGTTTGTTTTTAATAGTGTAGAGTTTTAAAATAACAGTAATACAACTTTGGTTATTTAATTTAGATATATCCTACATTTATGCATATGCATACCCACATGCACACTCTGGCACAAACACTGAATTTTATAGTAACTTTGGGTTGTTTTTCTCTTAAGAAATTAGAATAATAATCCTACAAGTATGTTTAGTAAGTAAATTGATAAGTTTGAAAGACTAATAGGCTTTTTGTTAATAGTCTATCTTCCATCAACAATATCTATAAAATAAATTGGTTGAGTTTTTTTGTGGGGACCAGCAATTGAACATGTGCTTACTAAAACCGGTTATCTCTTTAGACCTTCCTGGGCTCTCTGTCTTTAAATTTAACATCCTCCAATATTTTATAAACCAGTTCTGTAATTAATTTCTTCTCCTTATCACTTACAGAGTCTTCTGACATTATCCCAGATACATATTGGGTTTCTTGTTTGTCTTCTCTCCTTGAAGGTGGAGCTGTGAGGGCAAGGGACCATTATTTCTTTTGACTGAACCCCTGGCACCTACAACATGTCTAAGTAGGTCATTCATGTATATTTGCTAAATGAATGAAGGAATAAGATGCACAAGGATTCTCACAAAAGAGAAATTTACCTAGATGATCTGCAAATAAACTAACCCTGGCTAGTCATTTTATTTTTAATTTAGAAATACTTAAATTGAAAATAATAATATTAACAATAGCATTGTGTACTTACAATTTGCCAGAGAATGTTCCATAGCACTTTGCACATTTTTATTCACTTAGTGCTGACAGGTGTGTAGCTATGTACTATTAATTAAATTATCTTACTAATAGAGGAGCCAAAGAATAGGAAAGTTCAATACCTTGCCCAGGAATGGAATGTCATTCTGATTCCAAAGCCTGAGCTGTTAGTCTCTCCACAAAACAGAACCATCTGAAAATAAAGAGTATTAGATAAGATATTGAATTCTGGTAAAAAATGTCTCCATTTGTAGTAGCAGAACTGTTTCTCAGGAACACATAGTTCCTGGGACACAGCCCAGACGGGCAGTGTGGGGACAGAGGTCACAATGATTCAACTGCCCCAAATGCTGTTGATTGAATGTATGTGTTTTTCCAACATTCATATGTTGAAAACTAATGCCCAGCCTGACAGTATTTGGAGTTGGGGCTTTTGAGAGTTAAACTGATCATGAGGGCAGAAGCCTCATAAAAGGGATTCATGCCCTTATACAGTGACTCCAGAGAAACACTGCACTCTATCTGATATATGAGGGCATGGTGAAAAGTAAGCAGTATGCAACCCAGGAAAGGACCTTCCAACCACCATCCAACCATGCTGGCACCCTGATCTTGATCTCCCAGGCTGCAGAAATGTGTGTTATAAATTCCTTTTGTTTATGAGCCACCATGTCTGTGGTTTTATAGCACCATGAATGGACTCTGACACTGACAGATGAGTTACTTTTCCAGATTACATTAACTAATGGGAGATTCATTACTGTGTAAGTTTAATTGTGTACACATTTTCTTATTCTTATCCTATGTCTAGGCTCTACTCTCTTCCTACCATTACCTGATCTAAGGGCTGGTGAAGGTATTTTTCAAGGATATAATCCCTAATACAATCTAAAGTTAAGCACTATGATTTCTACTTGGAGATTTAAAAACATGCATTTGTAGGAGCAGTTAGCATTTCCTAATATATGCACACACCCTGCTGAACAGGAAGCTGGAGCATGCTTTCAGTTTCACATCGCACATTGAAGACAAGAGAGAAAAGCGATGGCCATGGCCGGTGAGCTTTTGCTTGTTTGATTGTTTTACTGTCTAAAAGGGCATGTCTTTGGGAAAATTTCTGAAAAATAGATGTCTTTGGGGGGAAGCCATAATCAGGTTCTGTGAATGTTTATATGAGCAGAACTGAGGGAGAGGGAAGAAAGAAGAGGAAGGGCAAAGTAAGTAAAGTGGGGCCAGAAAACTTTCAGAGCTTTCAGAAAGAAAAAATCTGAGTCAGAAAGGAGCTGGGCTTTACTGGTATTCTGCTGTCATTTTGCAATCTTAGAATTATCTGACTGTGGGTGCCCAATGCATAAGATAGGTGCCAGCAGCTGTTGTCCCCAAGGGAAATGACATTCGCTGTCTCATTCTTTTATTATGCAGAGCTGAATAAACATGAGTTACTCTCAGGCTGGTTTTCAGGCACTGACAGGCATAGTAAATGTGAGACTTCAGGGCATTCAGTGAGCATACCTGGGTAACACTGATGGAAGAATAAGAGATGTGAGTATCCTCAGTATGGCTGAACTGTGTGGAGGGGACATTTAATGGGTTAAACCTAAAGGAGCTCTTTTCTGCTGCTGACATGAGAAGAAATTAAGGTTGTTTTAGTAACTTGAGGAATATGTGTGCTTCAAACAGACATGGTCCTGAGGTCGAAGAGGAAGATATTTATCCAATCAGTGAGCAGTGGCACGATAAATGGCTTGTTGGATGGATTATTAGATGAAAAAGTGCTGAACCAGGAGGAGATGGAGAAAGTAAGAAAAGAAAATCACACAGCTATGGATAAGGCCAGAGATTTGATCGATTCTGTCATTCAGAAGGGGGACCAGGCAAGCCAAATACTTATCAATCAAATTGTTGAAGTTGACCTGCAACTTGCGGGCAAGCTGGGGCTCTCCTCAGGTAAGGACAACAACTCAGACTAAAGTTCACATAAGCCTTGTGTCTTTGTACCCATGTCTGATTTCTTCATTGGTCTTGTTAGTTTGCAAACAACTTCTTTATGTCTGGCTTCAGGAACCCGTTTGTAAATCTTTGGCATTATTGTTTGTCCTGTCTCTCTACTCTTTTTCTTATTTTTTTAGACCTCAGTAGCCTTCTTTGGTTTCATACTCATTTTCCATCCTAATATGCAGTAGCTCAGTTGTTAAAGTACATAAGACCAATTTCAAAAGCTTCATACCATATTTTCTAGTCCTCCTGGCAAGGCAAATTGTTCATTTATTCAGTTAATTACTTAGAGTTAAGTCCAGGCCTCCTTATAAATTTATAGTTACCTGACATGAAGATTTAAGATGTGTAAGTAAATAAATTTCATTTTCTCTCTAAATTTTCCTCTCCAGGAAGAATAAAACATATTTTAATGATGGTGAAAAACTCAGAGAATAAATTCAATACTTACTGAAAAGCTGAAATGGTAAAAGTGGACTCTTTTTTCTGATTGACCTCTGCATTTTCTGTTGAGTATGTTGAGTAACGTTGTCCACTAGCATGGAACTAGGCTGTGGACCATTGTGTAAGGCTCACCCCTCTACCTCCTATCTTTCTGAGGCCCTGATACAGGACTTGGGCAATTGACTTGCCCCTCCTATAGTCCCTTATTCCCTCCAAAGAGCTGAGTTGGTATCTTGGGAGAACTCTCAGCCACTGGTCTCTCTATGCTTCCAAGGTCCAGTCAAAGGAAAAGTTATTCTTTGAAAGCAATAAGCCATATTTCCTAGGGACCTGGGAAAGCTATGCCTCTCCTACTGATTGAAGAGACTTTAATTCTGGGTAATTTCTAGTTTTTTGTTCCTTATTTTTTCAATAACACTTTTTCCCAATTTAAAGACAATCAATCAATAACAATTAGGGTTCAAAATAATTGTTTTCTTTTTTTCTTTTCCCTATTTCTTTCAATTCCTAGTCCTTGAATTCCAGAGGCACTTGTACAATCCACTGTGTTAACTGTAACATCTGGATTTAGCCTCTTCATTTGTCAAAACATACCTCCTCATTCAGGGTTGTCATGGATTCATCTCTCTCTTATCTACTTGCTGAGATAGATAGTAATTAGATGTCCTATTTGAATGACTCTAATAGGAGAGATCTTTCTAAAAGAAAATTCTTTGCATGTACACTACTGCCCAAACAAGGCCTCCTCCAGAAGATGTTCTTGAATTTATTGAAGCTTAATGTAGTCCAGCAGTGTAGATGCAAAAGATGGGACAAGTTGTAGCCTCTTAGCTTGCATTTGACATTTTGTGGGAAGCCTATGGCTCTCCCTTTTTCAAAACAGAGAAATGGACCACATTGTGTCTAAGGAAAGCTTATCTTCAATAGGAACTATGTAATACAGACTCATTATTTCACATTGGTTAGCTCCTGACAATTCTAAATTTTCTGGAATAAGCTTCTCAGGTATGTATTGTTACATTGAGACCCTTATAAAATCTAAGAGAAATTTAAATTTAATTCTTGAAATTGACAGTAATAATAAACCATGACCTCAGACGATACATTATAGGTTTGATTGATTTAATGCACCAAATAAAGTAACTGAGCCTTTTCAGTATTTTTCTAGAGTGTAACACTGAGTATAGCAAGTGCAGATTACAGTGATTGTGGTCAACACTCCTGTTATACGCAAAAATCTACAGTGTCCTTTGTGCACTGACAGAACAGTTTAGTAAATAAGAGCCCAAGATTAATAGTCAGGACAGATTTGTGTTTACATCCTATCTCTACCACTTTCCTGTTCTGTGGCACTTAGGAAATTGACTTACCAGTGATTGAGGGTAGACCAGTGAGTCACCCCATCATCACTTTCTTCTGTGATAAATCTTGGCAAGGCTAACTGTCAAAGTTTAGATGCTTTTTCTTAGTTTTCTCCAAAGTCCAGGTCAGCTCTGAGTTAGACAACTTCACTTTGCACATGCTTTTTACGTAGTAGTGGTCACCTCAGGATCCACCTTGAAACACGCATATTAAGAGAATTCTTGACTTTAAAGCTGATAAAATCTCAATTCCACCTTATCATAGAAAACAGAATTCAAGGGATTTACTTGTAGACACTCTTTTGTTCTGCTTCAAATGTTAAAGTCCAGTAATTCATATGCGGAGGTTTTATTTCCCAGTAAAATGTGTGGTACCAGGTAAATCACATTTTGAACAGGTTTAAAATTTGTAGAAATTATTTTCAATAGAGAGCTACTGACACATTGGGTCAAGATATTTCAGACATGGTAAGTGACTACTTTAATGTCTTTTATCTTTCCTTATGTCCAGAATCAGAAAACTGTCATAATACACAAGATTCCCAAGCACAGATACTTCCCATTCCAGGTATCATATGCTCAAAGCAAGGACATTTTGAAGCTCAACTTCTTTGATATTAAGTACTAAGTACAGATTCATGTGATGAAACTAGAGTGAGGATACAATGGGTATTCTCCTAGTTTAATCCTATGCCTTTTTATCTTTTCTATTCTCCTCTCACAGAAGTCATTCTTGCAGTTTTACTACCATGTTTATACTTACAAATTATGATCCTGTATCGCAAATTGTGACTATCCACTTGAATGCCATACTTCACTATCCTAGTGGCTACTGAACATATGCACTCATCTCCCACAGACCCCATTTTTATACATATCCAGAGCTGAGTTTGCCATTTATTCTTCCCCATATGTTGCTCTTCCTTGGGTTTTCACTCTTTGGTTCCTGGTGCCCCCATCGCCAAGTTATTTAAACCGAAAACATTACCTGAGCTGTTTAGCTCTTTCCTCTCCCTCACACCTTTCAAGCAGTGGCCCAGTTTTCTTGATTCCACTCTCAAATTCAGATCTGTCAAGCCTCTTCTAATTTTACTGCTATAGTTCACGCCCCTATTCCCAGGTCCCTATGACTCTTCAGCCATAACTCTCATTGTATTTTCTCTTGTGTTTTTAAAAATAAATTCACCACTGTCTCTCACTGGGCTTTAAGCTTTTTGAAAACATTGGACATTCTCGACTTATTCATAAGTATGATCCGATCTAACAGTAGTCGACTCATAGTGTGCGTGCAATAAATATTTGTCAGAGCATGATTTTACCAATGATTTCATCAAACTGTTATTATTTGCTACACCATTAGAAAAATATTTAGCATATGGCAACTGTGTCACAGACCTTGACCTATAGACTGTTTAGAGTGTAACAAACAAGACAAACAAGCTTCCTGTCTTTATACACAAGTTATGGATGACAAGGTATTTAAGAAACTCTACCACCACATTAAAGTTAGGCAAGAATTTAAGGATGACTATAACACTACACACGCCCATATCAGTTAAGATGGTACAGAATGCTGCTGCAGTAATTCAAACGTTTTTAATGGCATGGATACAATAGACGCCTATGTCTCGTTCGTGAGTGGGCGAACTTCATCAGCAGGCATCTCTCCACCGAGTGCTAAGTCAGATACTTAGACATCATCCATCCTATGACTCTGATATCTGTCCTATAAAATGCCAAAACAGCTGTGGTCTTAACCATCACTTAATGGCATTGGAAGAAATACGGAGAATCATTTGTGAGGGATTGTGCTGGGCTTGGTATGGCTATGTCACACCATAATCCTGCTTGCAATCCTTGCTTTGAGCTCAGTCACGTGGCCACACCGAACTGCTACGGTTCTGGGCAGCACAGGCTAGCTGTGTGCCCAGGAAGAAGAAGGCAGTGTCCCGTCGAACAGTAGCCAGTCTCCGCCACGAAAATTTAAATGCAAACCGTTTCATTTCTCACAGTGTTGAAGGCGGCCCAAGGAAATCCCAGGTCCAAGGTGACAAGGAAGATCTTTAAAATGTTTCATGCATCTATTCTGAAAAAAATGCTCTCAGATTTACTGAGTCTTGACAAGATCAATATGTGCTTGATTCCTTAAACGGCAAACTTTATATTTGTTTGCCTATTAAGCAATCCAGCTTCTTTCTTATGAAATAATCATTGTTTATTTGTCCTGGGAAAGTTTTTCACCCTCAGTCCTCAAGTTATTTAATCAGAAAGTGACCTTTTTCTCTTACAGTAAAAAGACCTTAGATCTGGAGGAAATTTAGAGACCATGGAAGTGAACATGTCATCAAGTTGAGAAAGTTCTGTAATAAATCTATTAAGGGTGGCTGTCCCCTGCATGTTTTCTTAGGTATTTCAGTGGATGGGGCATTCACTACATAAACAAAGACCTTATTCCTTAACTAAAAAAAAATTAACTCTGATAAAAACCCAGTATTTCTCTTTCATATTTTTCCTTGTTCTCTGGACTCATGTATCATGAAAGAGAACATTTCTTCCTCCTAATAATGACTTTTATAGTTTTGTCCAATACACTTATTCTAATTCTATTTTACGTTACCCACAGTAAACATTTTTCATGTTGTCTGGGATTTATATATATATATATATATCTATATATATATACACACACACATATATATATATAATCATTTCTTCAAATTTCTCTTCCAAATTGAATATAACTTTCTTGAGTAAATAGTTTAGCTTCTGACAGATCATCCAAATATTGAGAACATGTATTTATTTTGAAACAGAGGTTATGTTACTTTATTAGCAAGTACATCACACTGTTGGATGATGTTAAACTTGTAGTAAAATAAACCCTAAAACTTTACTTACCTAAACCACTATGAAAGCTCTTCCTCACATATTTACATAATCAATGTTTGGTGTCATGAATTCATCTAGTATGTATCTTGATGTTAGCATTTAGCATTCTGCTCATAGTCCATTCTACTTAATACATTTAATATTCCACATCCCCCTCCCCATATATACATGCAGTAGAGAGATCCTGAAAAACAAAAGAAAAGCCTTTCCTTCCTTCCTCCCTCTCTTTTTTTCCTGTCTTCATTCTTTTTCCCTTCATCTATCTCTCTTTCTCCCCTACTTCATCCTCTTCCTTGCTTCCTTCCTTCCCTTTTCTTCCCTTCCTTCTTTCATTCTGTCCTTTCTTCTTTTCCTCCCTATCTGACCCCACCTCACCCTGATTCTCTCTTTCTTCCTTCGTTCCTCCTTCCCTCTCTCTGTCCCTTCCTCCCTTGCTCCCTCCATTCCTTCCATCTTTCCTTCTCTTCTTCGTTCCTACCTTCCTTCCTTTCTCTCTCTTTCCTTCTATCTCTAATGTCTACTGTCATACCTAGTAAGTAACTAACTAAATAAATAAACATATATATATTAAAAACATTTGAAATAGAGTAATTAAGCTCTTCCTCCATTAAATTTTATTCTCAAATTTAAATCAGTTGAAATAATTTTATATATTAACTATTTCATCTAACCTATTATTTTCTGAGATATGTCATGCATGGCCTTGAAAATTTTCTATTTTATTTTTTATTTTAAAGGTTTTGTAAAATTCCTGCTCCTAAGAGATAAAGGTAGATCCTTGTATCTTACCGCAGGAAATCTCCTCTGGTTTGAGATATGTTCCAATAGCAGTGACTCACTCAATAGTGTTAACGACTAACCCAGAGTTGGTTTTGTTTTTTTTTTTTTTTTTTTTTTTTTAAGGATTTATTGCCTCCCCTGTGGCTTCATACACAGATGATGCTGTGAAGATCACCAATTGGATCCTCAGGGATGTCATTACTCATAATGTTTCTTGTCTGTTGCAGCTTCCCAGGCAATGCAAGAAAACCGAGGTCCAGGAGGGAGCATCAAGCTCTGCCCTGCAGAAACAGCTGAAAGAATAAGGAAAGAAAAGTCAGGAGAGGTACTGTGCTTAGGACACAAAGACCTGGGTGAAAAAAACACTGGACACCGTTGTTAAGGGCAGTGGCACTTTCTTAGAACCAATTTCCTTGAGACATTCTGGAAAATCATCCTGCTGTTTCCTATGCATAAAAGATTAGTAACTCTTAGAATCCCAGGGTTACGTATAGAGTTCCAAGGTGGACACAACTCCCTGGGTACAAAATTATAATGATAACAACAATGGCATCCACTGAATTCTTAATGAGTCAGATAGTGTTCTATGAAAGTTGCATGTAATAATAAAACTTTAAATCCTTAAAATGGCCCATTTTATAGATAAGGAAACTGAGAAATGGATTACAAAATATTTTGGCAAAACCAGTAAGCTGAGGAGTCAGTTTTAAAATTCTGTCATTCTTGTTTCAAAGCCTGTTTCTCACACAATCTTAGCTTTAAAAAATAATTAAATTAAATGAACAGTTGTCATCTCGGCATTTGTAAACTCACTTTCAACTCCAATAGTAAGAGTCATTTGCCCCCCCAGTTTTTTTTAAATCTATGATTAATCGGATCTGGTTTCTAGATAAAGCTAGGGAAAGACAAGCAGTGTTATACCATCAGGGTGAATATTTAATCAAAGAGAACAAGACTGTTCATGTTATCTGTATTTCCTACAGATTTACCCAATAATGGGAAAGGCACGTCTTGCCCTCATTATCTGCAACATAGAGTTTGACAAGCTTTCTAGAAGAGCTGGAGCAGAAGTTGATATCAGTGGTATGGAGAAGCTGCTAAAAGATCTGGGATACACTGTGGATGTAAAACGAAACCTCACTTCCTTGGTAAATTCTTCCAGATTATAGGGACAAAGATCACACCCTTTATATTTCTACAGAAGTTCTGGTTGTACCACTAGAATCTTAATACCCTGATAGTCTAAAATTCAAATTTGCCCTTGGAAGTGTTTAATGTACAATAACACCTTCGTTGTTAAAACAAAGAGTTCATTTATTTGTTCTTTTTTAGCTAGAGCCTGGTGGAACTTTTATTTGGGAATTGTTCTGTTACAACAATAATACCTTTTCCTCTCTACTAGGAATTACTTAGTAGCATACTATACCGCTATATCGCCTTTCTTTGAATTTAAAGTGAAATTTTCTTTTGTTCCCAATGATTTTTATATCACTCAGAAATTTATTAAGTGTCTCTTTTTTGAATTCCCAAGGTTCCATGATAATGAATCTCATAGTACAAAATCAACGGTATGGTCTCTTCCAGGACATGACTGCAGAGCTGAAGGCATTCGCTGCCCGTAAGGAACACAAGACTGCTGACAGTACTTTCTTGGTGTTCATGTCCCATGGTATTCGAGAAGGCATTTGTGGGAAGAAACACTCTGAGGAAGTCTCAGACATATTAACCATCAACACTATCTTTCAAATTTTGAACACTAGGAACTGTCCAAGTTTGAAGGACAAACCGAAGGTGATCATTATTCAGGCCTGCCGTGGCGGTGAGTGCTGATGTTTGATTCGATACAAGATATACAAGTATTAATTTCATGATTTATATTCATCCAGTATTGTGTTTGTGTGTGTGTGTGTGAGAGAGAGAGAGAGTCTCTTCCCTAATGTCAAAAACACCTATTGTCATCAAACAAAATTATAGCTGCTGTGAGTTGTTATGAATGGTTAGTAGATATTTATTCTATTTTCAACTAAAGAAATACAGTTTTAGTCTTAAGACTTTGATGTTTTAATTGTCATTAGAATTCATTTAAGGGTTACTAGAAATAAGAGTTATTAAAAAGATAGTTATTGGGATATGTGTGTATATATGCATATGAATGAAAGATAGAGACAAATTAGTACATATGTTTGAAAAGAGATTTAAGGGAGAAAGCAATTCTCTTGGCTGTTGGAAGTCACAAGAAACAAAATCTTGTCTTTCTAGAGAATGAAGGGGTGGTGTTGTTAAAAGATTCAGCAGGAGCTTTTGGAAACAGCTGCTCACAGGATCCAGAAGATTTTGAATATGATGCCATTAAGAAAGCCCATGTAGAGAAGGATTTCATTGTTTTCTGCTCTTCAACACCAGGTAATAAGTTCCTGTGTAGGACACCACTGTGGGAATCACTAATGCAGAAATTCACACACATTCAGTAGAGAATGAGTATCTGTTGAACTGTCCTTGAAGCTTCTGAAAAACAACTCAAGTAGTCCTCCCAGTTAAAACCTTTAACTACCCTTATCCACAGATATGAAAGTGCATATATTTTTATTATATTAGTAATTATAAATTCCCATGGTACAAAAATAGTTTCCTGGAACTGTAGGGATAAATAGAGGAAGATCTACACTGAATAAATTAGGATCTGACTCCACATGGAAAAGGTTCACAATGTTGGGTTCATTCATTAGTTCAATTTGCCTAGACATCATGTATTTACAGAAAAGTAGAATTTACAGGTAAAAGGAGAGGTAGAAAAGCAGATGAGTCAATTCGAGGTTCTTAGTTAAATTGGTTTCAACCAGAAGCATAGAATGAATGAAAAAAGAAACTTTAATGATTTTTAAGTCTAGACTATGGATTACGAGTACTACCATTTATATTCTGACCCTGCCATTTAGTATTTGTAAACTAGTTCTAGTTATTTATCCCTTCCGGGGTTTCTTTGAATTCCTCACTGATATATGTAAGTTCAAATATCATCATTCTAAGAATTAAATAAGGTAATATATGTGAAATATTGAGAATGATACCGAGTAAAACAAACATTAAATAATTGCTATTATTAAAGATGTATCCATTTGTAACTTAAGTCACGGTTTTTACCTTGAGCTTAAATAAAAGTCATTTCAGTTCTTTTATCTATTACGCTTTGAAATTTTTTGACCATTCACACTTCTCTTTGATTACCTGTGGCCTTAAGGCCTTACACCTGTTCAAATAGATTCAATTATTTCCTTTAATGCGTTACCATCTCTCAGGACATAGCCTGTTTCTGCAGTGTGCTGATGATGTCTTAATGTAGAAATCAATATTTTTTTTAATAAAAGTCAAAAACAATGACACTAGGCAAAAAGTCCCACACATTTACATCTTGAGTGTACTTAGCAGACTTTGGTATTAGACATAACTGTTCTTTGATATCCATTGATCCTAGCATTCCACACACATTTACCTCTAACTATGTAGTTCTTTATAGACCACTGCCTTCTCAACATCCATTTTCCTGATTTCTTTCTCCTTTTCTTTTATTTTCCTCACCCACTGTGATCGCACCTAAAGTCATCAATTCTGTTATCTTCAGGTAATTATTTTCCACTAGTAAACTTAGCCCCATATTTTCTAGTGCTAATCCCAACTACATTATAGTGCTGTCCAGAAGACACAAGCCCATTACTCTCTTAATTTCACAAAGAACTTGTGAAGATTTTTGCCTCCACCCTCTTTCTCTTCCCCTTCCTTTACCTGGAACCAGCACCATAAAATAGCTGTGACTTTAAATAGAATTTTAATCTGTTATTACTATATATTTTATTACCATTATAATTGATTAAAAGATTTTGTTAACGCTTGTGTTTATAGTTATATAGATAACTAGTTATACCACTTCTATATATTTCTTTGTATAATTTTAAAATGGCTTCATGATTTCTATGTCTCTATATTTTATATAATCGACATAATTCTTCAATATTCTCTTTTATAAGACTATTTTGTCCTGCAGTAGAATCTTTTTCTCTTAAACCTTTTCTAGGCTTGTACTTCTTTTATATTTGTACCATTTTCATATTTAGTTAACATTTTCTTTGTACAAATACCTTATGACCATTATTATTTGATTTAAATTAAATTATTTACAACATAGATATTTAGAAAGTTATTAATATAATTATCCTCTATAAACTGAATATTAACATATTCTACATTCTCTCAGGCACTTATAATACATTATATCTAATCTTTAAATGTATTTTATGGAAGAAATTATTACCTTAACCTCTATAGTCAAGTTCATTGCATTTAGAGTGTATCATTAACTTTGATCAGAGTTAGTAAACAGTACACTTGGGATCCACACCCAGTTTCTTTCCCAAGGCCCAATCACTTCCCTCTACCCTTTCCTTTTCTATCTATCAGATTTGCAGATCCTTTAACTAAGAGACAATGCCAACCTAACTTCTGCACCATATGGCATCCTCCATATGACATTAACAATTGTCAAGTATCAGTAAAGATATACTCACTAACATTGAATATATTCAATAAAGAGTGGTATACAGTATATAGAAAACAGCATGACCTCAACAAGCATCCTCAGCTGGAATGAAAATCTTAGCATTCCATCTTTCTGTCCAGACAAGGGATTTGCATGAGATTTTGGATGTGCTTTATTCACAGATAATGTTTCTTGGAGACACCCCCAAAAGGGCTCACTTTTTATTATGAAACTCATTGAACACTTTCAAGAATATGCTCGGTTCTGTGACCTGGAGGAAATATTCCGAAAGGTAAGGCTCTAGATGTTTCTCATACTCTACTTCCCTGGATATTTGACTATTTCATTAGGAAACCTAGGGAACAGCTCTGGATATATTTATCGTCCAGAAATGCACTTCTTTCCAAATGAGCTTTGAGGGTCTTTGGTGAGTCAGCAAACCTGAAAGCTAGATCCAACCTGCTAGGATCTAGAAATCAACTTCTAAAAATTAATAATTTATTTTAACTCCTCTCAAGCCCTAAATACACAAAGAAGTGGAATCCAATTTGTCTGTGTTCATAGCTATTTGATCCAGCAACAGACTTAAAAAGTTTGGTTAGTTCCATGCTTAGATATCCATATAACTATGATTCTTACAGATGCATAAATTTTTGTTTTGCCATATATTTTGTAATTTTTCTAGCTTAAGTGAAGATTCTCCCACTTAAAAAAAAATACTGACTCTCTTTTCCCTGTAGGTTCGATTTTCATTTGAACAACCAGATGTTAGGGTACAGATGCCCACCACGGAAAGAGTGACTTTGACAAGATGTTTCTACCTCTTTCCAGGACATTAATATAAGTAAGTTATATTAGTGTCAAAGAACAGAGGGGTGGATGTGGTGAAGGTGCATAACGTTGTGGACAGGGCCTAAACTTCATCCTGGTCAAGGTCTCAAGGTCTAGTAAAATAAATGAGAGGTACTAAAAATATGTCTTTCTGCTGGTTCAGTGCAGAGCACATTACTCTTCTTTAAAGTTCAGTAGAGTTAGATGGCTCTTTCTCAGGGTCAGCTGATAGAGATTGAGATGTGACCATAGATGATGAAAGTTTGGTTTTAGATGTTTCTCCTTTTCAATTCAGCAGAGCAGTATTTAGACATAGCATGGCCTCTTCCTTCTCATGAGTGTGGATGTCCCAATAAGTGGAGTGCTTTTTCAACTTGTGTTTCTTTTAATAGAATTGAGTTTTTAATGTTTGTTTTATTTCTTTACCTTTTTTTGTAGAAAACCAGGAATTTTGACTTTCTGTTCCTGTTTTTGGAATATGTCAGCAGGAAACAGATATTTCTTTAAACATTCTAATAAATCTGAAATTTAAAAAAAAAAAAAGGTTTTCTTGGGTGTTCTTCCATTTGGAGAAGACAGAAGGTAGGATTTCCAACAGGTAATGGATGTCTTTAGACTTGATCCATGAGAGCTGAACTGCCTAACAGCACCATTCTTTCTTTCTAGAACCATTTCCAGGCTTTCCCTTTCAGGGATATAGATGCAAATCTCACAGTAGGCATTTATCTTCAAAGATTCTTGAAGCTCAGCAGGAGAGATGCAGAGAGTGATAAATGACTTATCAAGAGTTTATACCTACCAAAACCTTGGCCAGAAATTACACATCTATCCTTCCATAAAGTATTTTAGGGATGAAAAGTAATTTTGATTCAGTCCCAGGAAACTCTTAGTTTACAATCATATTAAGAAGACAAGATAGTCAACAAACACAAAACAATTAGCTGATAATACATGATGCCCTATGAAAAACCACTAGGATGTGTTGTATAAAAAGTAATGTCTGCCCTAGCTGGTGTAGCTTAGTCAATTGAACATCAGCCTGAGAACCAAAGAGTCGCTGGATCGATTCCCAGTCAGGGTACATGCCTGGGTTGCAGGCCAGGTCCCAAGCACGGGGCACACAAAATGCAACCACACATTGATATTTCTCTCCCTCTCTTTCTCCTTCCCTTCAGTTCTCTAACAATAAATAAATAAAAGGTTTTTTTTTAAAAAAAAAAAAAAGTACTGTCCTTGTTGATGCAGTAGTAATGAGTTTGGGGTGAAATCATCCACTCAGCAATATTACACTTAAGAAGGACTGAAAGGACTAGTTTTTAACTTGCAATTATAAGCCCTTTGTAATCCTAACCCATTGGGAGTAAAGGTGAATTTCTGGCTTTTTGAAGACATTCAGAAGTAAATATCACAGTCTTCCCCCCCCCCCCCCCCATTAACTGTTCTTCTGGGCATATCTCTTTTGTATTGCCATGCATTTGTTCTTCTACAGCCTGAGACTACCTCTATTATCATTCACTGTAAAAGGGTAATAAAAAGTCACCCTCAGAGAATTCAAGATGATGGAAGAGTAAGTGGAAGTCACACTGGCCTCTTCCCAGGTCCAATCTGGACTTACAACTTAAGTGTGGAGAAATCACCTGGAAAACAACAGAACAATACTGAGAGAAGAGATTTAACACTTCAGATGGACAGAGGAATCAGTTTTAGCACAACCTAACTGGTAAAGAGTGTGGTAAAGACTCAAGAAGGCAGGCTAGGTGCCCAAGGTGGCAGCTCCAGAGGGATACTTAAATGGACAATTGGATCCCCCTGAAAAGAGTAGCATCTGAACCATAGGCGGGTATCTCCAGCCTACAGCACCAGAGCCAATAAAGTATTCAGATAATAGCTAGCTGCGAAAAGTGGCAGGGTTGCTCTCTGCCAGAGACAGGCAGCTAGATACCCAAAGAGCCATTTAAAAAGCCAATGTATAAATTTGTATTGGCTGCCAATTACCCTGGGTTCTGGAAAAGGTGGGGGCAGAGGGGGCTGGAGCTGCTTAATGAGAGACTGGGGAAGGAGGCTTTGGAGGGAGAACTGAGAGAGTAGCCAGAGGGGTCCTGGTGTTGACTCTTTCCCCATTCAGTAGCTGTCATCTTGCTCAGGCAGACCACTCCCCTGAGCAGCAACAGTGTGGAAGGACACAATAGCCCCACCCTCAGGAGGCTCTGCCCTAGTGGCAGTAGTGTACAAGCCTGATTGATGAGTTCAGAGCAGCAGTCACAGATAGTAGATCCCTGGATAAAGGGGATGCAGAGTGGTCTAGACGCTTGAGGAGAGTCTGGAGACAGAGGCTTTGGGGAGAGAACTGAGGGAGTAGCAAGCCGGAACCTGGTGCTTACTCCTCCCCCATACTGCAGGAGCCATCTTGCTCAGGCAGCCCACTTCCATGAGTGGCAGCAGCCTGAGAGGACACAATAACCATGCACACAGGGGACTCTGCCTGACCCCGTGGTGCCTATGCCTGACTGCTGAGAGAAAAGAAACTAGATTAACAACTGAAGGAAACCCTCACAGACAGTAAATTCCTGGAAGTCTCTAAGAGACTGCTTAAGGTCAGTTGGGGCCAATAGCTGACATCATGAGAGGCAGATCCAGAAAGAAAAAAAAAAAGAAGAGCAGTCTCCTACCGCAACAGTTCATACCACAAGGTCAGGAAGTCAAGACAGATCAATTTAAGAAGCATAAGCAGAAAAAATAGTTTCACAAAGAGTGGAAAAACAAGGAAACACCATCCAATTGAAGGGAAAGGAGGAATCCCCATGAAGAGAACTAAATGAAATAGAGGTACATAAACTCTCAGACATTTGGGTTCAAAACAATGGTTCTAAAGAAGCTCAGTGAGCTCACGGAGCTCAAAGAGAATTACCAAAAACTACAGGGAAACTATGAGGAACTTACTGCAAACTATATCACCATGAAAAAGGACATAGAAACTATCAATAAGAGACAAGAGGAAATGAATAATACAATTTCTAAATTGAAGAACACAATAGAAGAAACCAAAAGCAGGCTAGATGAAGCAGAGGATCTAATTAGCCAGCTGGAGGACAAGGTGGAAAAAAGCTCTCAGAAAACACAAAAAATGTAAAAAAGACTAAAAAAGAATGAAGAGGCATTTAGGGAAATGCAGGAAAACTGGAAACATCATAATATCCATACAATAAGATATATCCATATAATAGGAGGAAGAGATGGAGAACCTGTTTGAAAAAGTAATGATGGAAAACTTCTTTAATTGGAGGAAAGAAAAAGTCACACAAACTCAGGAAGCACAGATGTTCTCATTCCAGAGGAACCCAATGAAGCCACATCATGATTAAAATGGCAAATATCAAAAAAAAGAAAGAATCTTAAAGGCAGCAAGGGAGAAACAGGTAGTAACATATAAAGGAGCACTGATACGGCTAGCAGGTGACTTCTCAGTAGAAACACTACAAACCAGAAGGGAATGGCAAGAAATATTCTAAGTCATGAAGAGCAAAAGCCTGCAGCCAAGACTGCTCTACTCAGCAAGGCTCTCAATTAAAATGGAAGGCGAAATAAGGAGTTTCTCAGAAAAAAGAAGGCTACAAGAATACATCTCCATCAAACCAGCACTACAAGATATGCTAAAAGGACTCCTTTAAGAAAATGAAGAAAAAGAGTGAGAGAGGAACACAGGTACAAAGTGAAAAAATGAATAAGTAGCTATCAATAATAACTTTAAATGTAAATGGATTAAATGCTCTAATCAAAAGACATAAGGCAGTAGAATGGATAAGAAAAGATGACCCACACATATGCTGTCTAATGGAGACCCACCTCAGAACAAAGGACCTACACAGACTGAAAGTAAAGGGATGGAAAAAAAGTATTCCAAGAAAATGGACAGGAAACAAAGCCGGGTAGCAATACTTATGTCACACAAAATAGACTTCAAAACAAAGGCCATAAAAAGAGACTCAGAAAGATACTTCATAATACTCAAAGGAAGAATCCATCAAGAAGACATAAGCATTGTACACCTATATGCACCCATAATAGGAGCACCCAAATGCACAAGGAAAATCTTGGAGGACTACAAGAAAGATATAGACAGCAACACACTGAGAATAGGGGACTTTAACAACCCCCTGTCAAAAATGGGTAGATCTGCCATACAAAACATCAACAAGGATATTGTGGAGTTGAATGACGCTTTAGATCAAATGGACTTAACTGACATATATAGAACCTTTCATCCCAAAGAAGCAAAATACACATTCTTTTCAAATGCAGATGGAACTTTTTCGAAGACAGACCACGTGATAGGACACAAAATAATCTTAAACAAATTCAAAAAAATTGAAATCATAACAAACTTTTTCTCAGACCACAGGGGCTTGAAACTAGAACCCAACCTCAAGGAAAAACCTCAAAAACATTTGAACTCATGGAGACTGAATATCAAGCTATTAAACAATGAATGGGTCAACAATGAGATCAGAGAATAAATAAAAAAGTTTCTTGAAACAAATGAAAATGAACACACAAGAGTCCAAAACCGATGGGACACAGTGAAAGCCATCCTGAGAAGGATCAAATACCTAACCTCAAACTATATTGCAAGGCCACTGTAATCAAAACAGTCTGGTACTGGCATGAGAACAGACACATAGATAAATGGAACAGAATAAAGAGCCCAAAAATAAACCCATGTCACGATGGTCAATTAGTATTTGACAAAGGGGGCAGAAGCATAAAATGGAGTAAAAATATCCTCTTCAACAAATGGTGTTGGGAGAGCTGGACAGCTACAAGCAAAAAATCGAAGTTCGACCACCAACTTACACCATACACAAAAATAAATTCAAGATGGATAAAAGACTTAAATATAAGTTGTGACACTGTAAAAGTCCTAAAGGAGAATATAGGCAGGAAACTCTCAGATATCCTGCACAGCAATATTTTCACCGATATGTCCTCTAGATCAAGGGACATAAAGGAAAGAACAAACAAATGGGACTTCATCAAAATAAGAAGCTTCTGCAGAACTAAATAAAACATCAAAATGAAAAGGGAACCAACCATTGGGAAAATATATTTTCCAGTAATACCTCTGCAGGGGTTTGATTTCCAAAATATATAAAGAACTCTCACGACTCCATTTCAGGAAGACAAACAATTCAATTAAAGAATGGGCAAAGGACCTGGACAGACACTTCTCCAAGGAGGACATACACAGGGCCCAGAGACAAATGGAAGGATGTTCAGCATCACTAGCCATCAGAGAATGCAAATTAAAACCACAATGAGATACCACTTCACAACAGCCAGAATGGCCATCATAAACAAATCAACAAACAACAAGTGCTGGCTAGGCTGTGGAAAAAAAGGAACCCTAGTACACTGTTGGTGGGGATGCAGACTGGTGCAGCCACTCTGGAAAACAGTGTGAAATTTCCTCAAAAAGCTAAAAATGGAACTGCCTTTTGACCCAGTGATTCCACTGTTAGGATTATATCCTAAGAATCCCAAAACACCAATTCAAAAGAACCTAGGTACCCAAATGTCCATAGCGGCACAATTTACAATAGCCAAGTGATGGAGGCAACCTAAGTGCCCATCAGTAAATGAGTAGATCAGAAACTATGGTACATTTACACAATGGAATACTACACAGCAGAAAGAAAGAAAAAGCTACTACCCTTTACCACAACATGGATGGAACTTGAGAGAATTGTGCTAAGTGAAATAAGCCAGGGGGTGAAAGACAAATACCATATGATGTCACCTATGAGTGGAACCTAATCAAGAAAACAGACAAGCAAGGAAAATATAACCAACAACACTGAAAGAAAAAAGAAACCAACAGTGGAGTGAGGGAAGGAGGGAGGGGGTTAATGGGGAAAGGAAGAGGAAGAGTCAAATTAAGAAACATGTATAAAAGACCCATGGACAAAACCAAAGTGGGGAAGGATTGAGGGTGGGGAGGTAGGGTGGGTGAGGCAAGGGAAAGTGGTGGCGGGAAAAAGGAGACAAATGTGTTTGCACAATAAAAAAAAAGAATAAAAAAATTAAAATGATACATAACCATAAAAGAAAGGTCACCCTCAGTAAAAATTCAATATGAAGGTAGGCTTAGGCAGTTCAGGAAATGCACGAAGGGTGTGAAGATGAAGATTCCTTAAGAATTTATCCATAAAAACTCAAAATGACAAGGAAACAGGGAGGGAACTATGCCCGCTAGAGTTGAAACAGGAAACATAAATAAATTTGGGTAATTTTTATCTGAAATTGAAATGAGATCTGCTAATTTTAACTCCTTCAGAGGAAGTACTGAGAGATGAGAAAAAGAACAGAGAGAAGGAATTGTGATGGAAATAAAGTGAGAGAAGGAAAAGGAGGAGAAAAACAGTCAGAGATGTCAGGCCACAGAAAAACATTTTGTCATTCACATGTTCTTTCCTCCTAAAGGAGGAACCTTTTCTTCCCCAAAGCCTCAGAAACACATTTTTTATCTACCGGGGAATTCCAGTCAAACAGTGAATACTGCTGTTCCAAGCAGCAGTTGACCCATCTGTGGTTAGATATTCCCGCCCTCTGCACTAAGGAAATGCCCAGTAACTTTCAGTTTTCAGTCTGTGGCTCATTTACAGCAACAGGGAGAAGCTGAGACTGTTGTTTCCTATGGCTGGTGAGTAGGGGTCTTTTCTGACTAAGGGTCAGGCACTTGGGTCTTAGAAAACACTTTATTCATTGCTCTGTGACAAACAGAAGTAACAAAAGGGAAAGAACTAATGGTCCATAAGCTGAATTCTTCCCCTGATTCTGTGTAACTTGAATCTTTGGGGGACATTGCATTAGACAGACTGAATGAAAAAAAGGTTTCCAGGTATTTTAGACCCAGGGAAAGTTAATTCGTTTCTTTCAGTTTATGGTAATGAAGGGGAGGGCAGAGACAAATAGAGTAAGTTATTTGTGTGTAAGACAGCTCTCAAAGGTTCTAAATGCACTCTGAAATCTTACTTCTTGTTGATTCAGAATTGTTCATTTGGGTAATAAACACTCCTCCCAGAATCACATAAGTAAGCCTTTTAATTCTGTCCTCTTTGCCATTGTCCATATTGAATTGCATATTTGGTCTTAAGGTGACTCTATTTTTTCTCCATTCTCTAGTTCTGGTGTTACTGACTAGTGCAGTTTTTCCTAGATTGCTATTATCAGTTTTTTAACTGATCTCCCCTCTAGGACATAACCCTCCAATCCATCCTGTAAACTACTTTCAGGTCATGTTTCTTATACACAGAAGCTGAAAAAGCAAAAGAGGAAGAGTCATTAGCTATTTAGGCAGCTAGTATTCAAACATGTCATACCACATTCTTAGTTTCATTCTCATCTGAAATGGAAGAGTTTCAAGTAGATTAACAAATCTGAAGAATCTGTGGTCATTTTTCAAAATTCAGTTTATTCGGATTATCCTGACCCTGTGTTTCTTAATCTTAAATAGACTGTAGACATTTATAAACTTTTAAATATCTACAGATAATTCTTATATAACTGGCCTGGCATAGATTTGTTTGCAGATTAGAATCATTAGGAAAAATGATTAGTTAGCTATCTTTCAGTTCTTATGTTCTAAGTATCTATGCATGTAATGTTCTTACTCAGGAACTACAGTTCTTCCCCATTGCATCTTTAAAAATGTCTGAATTTTTCAGACAGTTTTTCCCTCACTTCTAAATATATTTATCCATTTTTTCCATTAGTCCTTCTAAAAGATGATTTCAGCTTCACAAAAGATTATATTTGCATTTCCCCTCCTCATACCCCTTGCTCTTTTATTTCTTTATTTCTTTCTGCGGTATCATTCTTTCCAGGTTTTATGACCCATCTCGCAACATTTAACTTAAATTCTGAAAATTAAAGGATTGATTTTTTTTTTTGCTTTTTGTTTTGGTTTTTGCTTTTTGCTTTTCTTAATGACACTAATCCAGGATTCAGGAGAAGAGTCGTAAATTAAATACACATTCATGGCTGTGTCTTTGGCCAGGTAAGATGACCTTACAGATTATTAGATTGCAGTAAAAGAAAGCGAGTAAAGTGACTCAATAAATAAAAACAACTGAGTTTGGTTAGACATGAAATAATTAACAACTACATGAAAAAAATTGCTAGTTTAATGAGAAACAAGGTGTACTGGGAGCATATACCTCTGATACTCTGACTAGTCTGGGACTATCAGGTAGAATTCTGAACGAATTTATGTGTAATCTGAAGTACAAAGGATAAATGGAGCAGTGTGGGGACAAGAAAAAGTGTGGGGTGGGAGACTGCCCACACAGAGATTCCCAAGTAAGGACTTCCTAAAAACTTAAAGAAGGGCACAAGATTTAAACTGTAATGAACAAGGTGGGTAGAGTGGCAGAGGGTGAGAATGAATAAATAAGATTACCTAAATTAGAGTAATCTCAGAAGTTTCATTATTAAATCTAGATTTTAGAATACTAACTATGCTTCATTGTGAAGAACAGATTAAAAGGGGGCAAAAGTAGATTTATAAGGTTCTTGAAGTAATTAAAAAGGGAAGAATGCAGGCCTGATATAGAATAATGCACAATTTGGAATGAGAGAACTAGTCAGATTCCACAAATATTTAGCATATAAAATCAATACAATTTGATGTGAGATTGAAGATAACTTATTCAGAAAATGGAAGAGATTCACGATCACCGTATTTTACTGGTGTTATGTATTTGATGTTTAGATATCATTTATTAGTACAAGGATCAAAACAGGTGAATAAAAAACAAACAGGTCAACTTTATGAAGATAAGTTTAACAAGTGTGTGGGACATTGAGAAGAGATGGATATATGAGATTTAATTTCGGAATCTACATCTGGGATCGATCTGTTAACTTGAGAGTAATTTAGAATGAAGCCATGAGAATATATGGATAACAAGAAGAAGACGTAACACCAAACTTCTTTGGTTTTATTATTTACCATATTTCTCCCCATGCCATGTGTTCTGTCCACACTATACCACCTTGCTGAAACCCAGAAATCAGGGACACTAAATGTTCCATACACTATCCTGTATGTTGTTTGCAATTCTTCCAACTTCTAGCATCTGTATACTATATTGCATCTCAGTGTTTTTACTACCTTTTTAAAGAAGCCTTTGTGGCCTCACCTGCAGGAAATGACCCAGACTTTGAGTCCCTGCAACATTTTGTATTATTTTAAGTAACTCTTCACCAGGTATCATGTAATATAGTTTGATGATTTAAGAGTGGGGGGATCTGACCCCCTGAGTTTGAATCCTTTTTCCCCACTTACTGTACATACTATGTACTATACGTATGATTTGGGTCAATTACTTAACTAACTTCTCTGTATCTGTTTGTTTTTTAATATAATAAAATTATTAATATATCAGTTTCATGGAGTTCTGGTAAAGTTTAAGTGAGAAGTTCATGTATAGCACTTAACATCAGTGGGGGATCAGTGAATATTAACTGGTATTACTGAAGCTGTGCTCTAAGAGCAGAATGTGAATTCTCAATTTGGGTGATTTGGGGTAAATGATCTATAAAATAGGGGAAATAATGGTAATCTCATTGAATTGTTGTGAGGATATAATATATTAATATTGGTATTTAGTACAGAACTTGGAAATAATAATAACAATGATGATGATTTACATTGCTTTTTATGTATTTCTTTTTTAATCATTATAAGTGGGCAAGAGACATTAGCTGCTATTAATCAATTTTAACTAACTTTTAATTCATGTTTCATAACTTCAATGTTTCTTTATCATAATCATTGCCCAATAAGCATTTACAGTAAATGCTCACTGCACAATAAGCATTTATTGAAAAAATAATTCAAGGTAACATGGAAAATGAAGCTGTTGTTTCTAGATCCAAGTTCTTGTTCAATGTCCTGGCACATTTTCTTTAAGAAGTGTCATTTTGTGCCAAAGCCATTCTTATACCTAGATGGATTGGATAATTATCTTAGAGTTAATTGAGAATTGAGGAGATATCCTGCCTTCCCATATATATGTCCAAATCATACCTGTGGTATTAAGAAAAAAGGTTTATTACTTTGACTCTTACAATCTTCTATAAAAATTCAAATTATCTTAGACAGTAATAAATTAACCTTGTATCAAATTAATCTACCAATTGAAAGATTAGTCATCAGATTATTTTCAACTCTGAATTTTGGTTGAGACAAGATTTTAAAGTGTTAGGACGCTGGGTGCATTCATTCACTTATTCATTAATTCATGTATTCAGCAATCCTATATGTATTGATAAGTTTTTAAGCACAAAGATGTGAGTAAAAGATGTGAATATAAAAATGTGGATTCAAAAGCATAGCATTTTCACCAAGACAACTAAATACATAGGAAGGAATAGGTCCTGTGGTCTAGTGCAATGATTTTTAATGTTTCCCACTCATGACACACATAAACTAATTACTAAAATTCTGTGGCACACCAAAAAAAAATATTTTTGCCAATCTGACAAAAAATAGGTATAATTTTGATTCCTTTACATGGATGGCTCTGGTTGTGTTGTTTGATGTCATTTTTTAGTTTTTTTAAAACTTTTGTTCAAGTACAGTTGTCTCCATTTTCCCCCCACCTCTCTCCCCAACTCCACCAACCATCATTTTTTTCCCTTTGATAATCTGAAGGAAAAGAGATCAGTTCCCCTGACTAAATAGTCAGGTATTGCGTGTTTTAAAAATTATTGAGGCACATTGGTTGAAAAATCATTGCTCTAGTGGAAAAAATGTACAGTACAGTTAAGAGCATGGACTTTCCTTGGAGCATGCATTTCAGGTAGATCATCATCATCACTATGAGAAGGAGAAAGGTAGAAAGATAAATATAAAAAGAGTGGATGACACTAGGCCTAATGTCAGAGAAAGGAGATTAGAAGGTATGAAAAAATCTTAAGCACCAACAAATCATTAAACAAAACCCAGTATGTATTTGATGCACTGAGAGAATTCCAGAGGTATAATGAAATAGTATGTACTCTACTCGGGAAATGGTGAAATAATCAGAAGGTATTTCAGTGGTATCTCACATTACAGGGAGCCCTCTAAATACAGGGCAAAACCCTTTAAGTTGTGCCTGCAGTTAAAAGAGTCTTCATATTGCTTGCAGAAGACCAACACAGCAAAAATACACTTAAGGCTTTGGAATCTGTTGGTAAAGAAATCTTAACTGGATTTTTGGATGGCTTGGTGAAAAGAAATGTTCTAAAATTGGAGGAAACTGAAAAGAAAAAATATTATGATGCCAAACCTAGAGACAAGGCCTGGGTCTTGGCAGACCTTGTGCGACAGAAACGCGATGAAGCAGGTCAAATCCTTGTCCAAACCTTCTTTAACCCAGACACACTTTCCATCGGCACAAAAGGTAAGTGTGGAGTCATTTACCACAAATATCTCAAATCTATTTTTCTCAATCTATTTAGCCCCAATGCCTCTCCAATGTCCTCAATGCTCCTATCCTTAAATTACTAAAATATTAATTTCACTAACCCTATCGTTGTCATTTTAGGGGCTACTTGGCTTTTGTGAGAAAGGATTCGATTTCTAATCAGTTAAGAAGCTTAGTCTTTGTGTTTAAATTATTCATGGAAATATGTTATTGTAGAGACACTTTGGACACAGTGTAACTTCCTTCAAGTTTTCTTAATCTCCTTAAGCATCAGCCTCAGCATCTTTGACATGGGACAATTTCAGTAATTCAGTGGGGTTTGTAAGGCTAGGAACATAGTGGTAGGAATATGCTGACAACTCCTAAGATTTTAGCTCTCATCTAGCACTCTTCTAGGAGTTCCAGCTGTATATTTAACATTCCATTAAAATATTCCTATGGCTTCAAAAACTAAGATATCTGAAATGACATACTTGATTTCCCCTCACCAAATGTATTCCAGTTCCACCCCCTTTCAATCACATTAGAACTGTAATCCATGAATGTTTTTAATTCAGAGTACAACTCTTTTCTTTGCCAATGAATAATAGCTCTTAACAGAGTGCCAGGCACAAAGCGGGCACATAATACATATCACATGAATAGATACATGGAAGATATGCATTAATAAATATTAATTACATAATTATTATTTGGCTTGTAATATTTAGAACTTTCCAGTGCTTAACTCATTTCTGTAAGTTATGAAATATGACCAGAACATGTACAAAGTATCTAATATATTAAAATCTTTCAAAAATTTTGACCTACATTGAATTATGAGTATTACTAGAGCCTAAATATCCTCAGGCCCAAATTCACCAGTGAAGGAATCTACTACTTGCTACAGAATTTAACCTGAAATCCTGGCCCTGAATATTGGAACTTATCAATAATAATAAATAATAATAAGCAAGCAAAAAGCTATATACATTATAAAGCCCTCACTAGAACACATAGCTTTTTTAATTAACCCTTCTCTAGGTAGAAGGGAAATTCCCACCAGCATGAAGGACATGTGTATCTAATAGATGTCCAAGATTGTGGCCTAAGCTGTATTCACATTAATATTTAAACTGACCTTTGGCAAGTTATTACTTTCTCTCCAATCTGGGATGAGATGGGAACAATTTTGATTTTGTTCAAAAATAAGAGATCTGCAACTTGGAACCAGAATTGAAGTAATGGAAGCTTCAAAATAATTTTAGCTACCCCAGTGAACATTAAACCAAACTGAGAAAAACTACTGCATCAGCAGAGACAGTGGTAGGCAGGACATAGACATAGACGCTGTCATGCATATGGTGCCAAGTACTGTCAAGTACTGCTATTTCACCAGAGAGATAAGTACTCAAATGCCTCCAAAGGAGATGGCTTTTTCTCATCTTAGAAAGACAATCTCTTTCTTTTTCTATCAAGTGAAGGGGTTTTCAGAGTATTTCATTAGGTAACAGATAAGACTGAGATATTAACAGTTTTATCTAAACTCCTAATTCTCCCATTTTTTTCTGCTGCACTGCCAGTCTACCAGAAACTCCTTTTGTACTGCCGGCTGCACTATAATATTTATATGTTGCAATGAAAGGAATTTTTTTCTTATTATACTTTTAGATGCAACATAGAAATATTAATTCCCAATTTTAACTGCAAACACTACATTTACATATAGACATGTAATGGTCATTAGGAGATGATGTTTCAAGTTAGAGAGTTCACTGAACTTGTAAATAAACTGGAAAAAGAGGAGGCTTTGATGAGAAACATATCCTCTAACATATCTCAGGGCCTTGGGTGTCTTTACATTGGCAAAATCTTCTGGAATGGGAATGGAGAACATGTCACTGTTTATTAAAAAATGTTCAGAAAGTTTGGTTTCCTTAAAGATTTATAATTTGCTGCATCTCCTGAGCATAAGTTTTTAAACAACATTTATCAAAAAAATAAATGAAAAAAGCTAATGAAAATAAATGGATAAAAAAGAATAAAATATGAAATATAAAAACTGAAAATTTTATACAGGGTAATATTACCTTTTTCCTTAAAATAAAATCAGAGATTGATTTGGTTGGTTCATGTAAGTAAACATCAAGGTTTGTTCCTATCATGGACAAAACCCTTGTTAGTTAGATCATGGTAAACCTCTCTTTCAGTTTGTTTATTAATTCTTCTTCCTTCCTCATACAGCTGGGGAGGGGAGGGATCTGGATTTTCCCAGTCTCTTGCAAAATCTGAGTCAAATGATATCAAGCAGTGTTGTGCAATATTTCATATCTTTAAGTATTAGGTCAGGATGAGTCAGAAAAAAAACTTTTCCAAATGGGAGGGGTTATTACTTCACATTTTAAAACATGGGTAGAAAATTTAATTCTAGTAGTTCAGCATTTTGGAGGCAAGGACATTCAGTGTACATTAGAATCTGACCAAAATGTTGTCCCTCTGACTGTGGGATCAGCACTCTGGTTGCTATATAGAATTTCTCTTTGAAATAGCTGACTTCACAACTTGGCAAAGAATCGTAGAAGCTCATCTCCTCTGGAAAAGTTAAGAATTCAGGCTGAGGTTGCAGAAAAAAAAACAATACCTGGATAGTACAGGATTCAGGAAGCTGTCAAGTGTTAGTGTGTGTATGTGTATATGTGTTTTCTGTAAATTAGGAGCAGACTTAGGAAGTTATACCATCCAATATGAGAGCTACTAGCCCCATTGAGATGACTAGTGCTTCAATTGTGGGTAGTGACACAGGTTAAACTGATAATAGCTTGGACACAAAATATTGTTAAAATTAATTTTAATTGCTTATTTGTACCTTTAAATGAGACATTAGAAAAATGTTCGTTGTGCATGTGACTCAATTGTATTTCTAATGGATAGCGCTCTGATATATGTTTACTCTATATACTCTGCTCATGGACAAGAAAAAGTTCACTTAGGTGCATGAGATTTCTAGATTAAAAAATTGAAAACTCCAATTTTTTGATGAACATAAAAAGGCTAAATTTGACCCAAATCATCAAGGTGTTTTCCTCATAATAATCAGAATTTATCATTATATTTTTGGGTGGATCTGCTGCCAAAGATTTCTTCCTTCTTTCCCACTCATAATACATCTCTTCATACTAGAGGTTAGATGTAACTATAATTCCCACATTAATATGTTTTTAAAAATCTTCTCAGGATTTACCTTCTTTGTCCATATTCTTAAGTGATACTTGGTTCATAGATGCAGATGTTAAAATTTCTATCATGTAATTTCATGTGATATATACCATTCAGTTCCTACAGAAATGGCTGGACCAGCTGAGCCAGCAGAATCTACAGATACCCTCAAGCTTTGTCCTCGTGAAGAATTCTTGAAACTCTGTAAAAAAAGAGCTGGAGAGGTACTGTGTTCTGTACATAAGCTAGAGAAAGAGGGAGAAACAACTGCTTTCACTGAACACACAATATCTTAAAGCACTTATGACAGAAAGGGGAGGTGCAGACAGTGGTAATATCGTTCTTAAATGCTTAGAGCAAGGAGAAAATAGTGTATCCTCACAGAGATTCCAATTTTCTTTCAATCCCATGATAAAATATGGATCTTTCAGTATATTTTTTTGTTCTCATACTTATTTGGGATTTATTAAAATTAAGCTAGAGTCATAAAATACAAATATTTATGAGTATAAGATAGCATGGCTGAGTAGTAATTATTTGTATACTACTTGAAAAGCCTGGACATGAATTATGTATTTATTCATTTTTAGAAATAGGGGAAGTGAAGGAGAAAGAGAGGTAAACATCAATGTGTGGTTGCCTCTTGTGCAACTCTATTGGGGATCTAGCCTGCAACGCAAGAATATGCCCTGGCTGGGAATAGAACAAGCAACCCTTTGTTCCTCAAGCCTGTGATCAATCCATTGAGCTATACCAGCCAGGGCTGTTTCTTGGTTTTTATAAAATTTGACCTGAACCTTGAATACCAAGAACGATTTGTCTAGTTGAAGAGGAGAGAAGAGGAGAGAAGAAAATGTACTTGTAGTCTGCTCAAGATTCTTGAGTAGATATCACAAATATGTTCAGGGTCCAGTTCTGGGATCTTGAAAAAATTAATCACTTTCATTATTTTTCAGTATATAACATTTATTTTTAAATAATCGGAGGGTTCTAAGTAACTTTCAGTTCTTACTTCTTTATATTATCAATTCAATTCAATACAAAGAAAAAGGCAGAGTTTCTGGTACAGGAGAGGGGAGAGAGCAGCTATATGAACCAGTGACAAAACAACAATGATTAGTGTATGAGGGTTTAAAAGAGATTTAGGTAAACCAAAGTCACTGCATTTTTATTTCTTTCAGATCTACCCAATAAAGGAGAGAAAGGGCCGTACTCGTCTGGCTCTCATCATATGCAATAGAGAGTTTGATCATCTTCCACTGAGGGAAGGGGCTGAGCTTGACATCACAGGGATGAAGGAGCTGCTTGAAGGTCTTGACTACAGTGTGGAAGTGGAAGAGAAACTCACAGCCAAGGTAAGGACTTCGTATCCACCCCATGCATGTACATATTACATGTTCAATACACATCCTCGTACTAACAAAGCTCTATAATATAGTTAGGCAAACACTATAAGAACCCTCAGCCACATGTTGTGTATGTGTGCGTATACAATGAAATTATTAGAACAGGTGAAGTCTCTGTATTTTTTGTGTTTCTAATATTCTCAGTTCTATAAAAAGAGACAAAAAGTGATTGTCATTTGTACCCATACAATTCTTAGTTCTTAAGAGATGATTGGGATTCAGACCCATTATACCCAGAAAATCTAAAGTAATAAATGTTTAGTAGACATGTACTCACCATGACAAATACTGAGTCTTAACTTTGTCCCGTTGTCTATTCTTAGCCCCAGGGGTAGGTCTGTGTCTGAGGCAGGAAGTTCCAAGCTCCACTAAATTATGTTTACCAGTGGGGGTCCAGTCCAATTAAAAGCAAAACCAAAAATTTCAGAGATTTGGTATGTCTACATGACTCTCTGTAAGAGTGAAAAAGCAGTTAAGAGTAAGTGAAAGGAAGAGCAAATTGGTGATCATGGACTACTTGTTTTGATGGAATGGTGAAGAAATGTCTCTTTAGGAGAAAATATTGGAGCTGACAGTGGACTACAAGTAGCACGACAGGTCTGAAAATATGTGAATAAATACATCCTAGGAAGGATAACTACAAATGAAAAATCTAAAATAATAAAAAATTGGAACATGAAAAACATAGGAAGACCAGTGTGACAAGAGCTTACAGGAGGAAGAAGACAGGCAGGCAGAAGTACACATTAGTCGGAAGTTAGATTTTATCCTAGGTACAGAGAAAAGTGTTTCTGAAGGAAAGTGGTATGATAACTTTATGACACAAGGCGCCTACCTATTAATTAATGAAATAAAAGACAGAGATAGAACAAACATGTAAAGGAAAATAAGCAAATGTAAAATATATCAAGAGGACAGTTCATATAATGTTAGCAGGAACAGACAGTTGAACCCCCTGCACCATTGCAGAAAGAAAAGGTAAACAGCTGTCCTTGAGCAACCACTACTTGAAGAAGGCACAGTGACTGGAACATTATAGAGGCTTCTTATATTGCTCATGATAAATAGGAGGTCAGATAATGTTAATGATTGTCCTATTAAGTAAGACATAGTGGTCTTTTTCAGGAGATGGAGTCAGTCCTGGAGGCATTTGCTGCCCGCCCAGAGCACAAGACTTCAGACAGCACGTTCTTAGTGTTCATGTCTCATGGCATCCTGGATGGAGTTTGTGGGACTATGCACAGTGATGAACAACCAGATGTGCTGCCTTATGACACCATTTTTCGGATGTTCAACAATCGCCACTGCCTCAGTCTGAAGGACAAACCTAAGGTCATCATTGTCCAGGCCTGCAGAGGTGGTGAGTTCTGATACGGGAAGTTCATGGAGTGTTTGCCGAGGACTGTGATGTATGTTTTTGTTTTAGGGGAAACAATCTTAGTCCCCACTCAGTGCAAATAAAGCACATTGAATTCTTAGGACCTCCAGTTATTATGAGGGGCTGATATCATGAGAAATTGGCATGTCAGCTGAGAAACATCTATTCATTTTAATCCAGGGTAAGTGATGGAGGAGGTCTGCAGAGTCCCTAAATCAAAGTTGAACAAAAATATTTAAACCTTGGAGTGAAATCATTTTAATGACTGTTTTACTTGTAATTTTTTACAGTTATTTTGACATTCTCTAGCTTGAGAAGAATTTCATTTGAAAGAGGAACTCTTCCCTTTTTTGTACCCCATACAATACTGAAAGGGAACTGAGTAGGGAGATGAGGATACTTGGCATTGCTCTCAAAATTTTACTTGTTTTTATTCCTGAGTTCCAATTGCCTCTTAGCTTTTTGAAGCAGTGTTTGGGAAGAGAGTAGAAATAATGTAGCTAAAAATAATGACTATGCTCTGAAATTATGCAGATATGGCTTCAACTCCTTTGCTCTTCTTAGCAAATGGGTTTATGATACTGTCACTATTTACAGACAAGATGCTCTCAGTGTTAACTGGCACATTGCTCAAAGACATTAGAGAGAAGCCAAGTTATGTGCGTGCAGGGAGGAGTTCAGTATATATGTTTGAGTAATGTGTGTGGATACAACTGGTGAGAATAAATATTTACAAATTTTATTTTATTTATTTTTATTTGTTAATTAGAGAGAAGGGGAAAACATTGATGTGTTTTTCCACTTATGTATATATTCATTGGTTGATTCTTGTATGTGCCGTGACCAAGGATGAAACCCACAACTTTTTTGTATTGGGATGAAACTCTAGGCAACTAAGGTACCTGGCCAGGGAAAGAATAAACATTTACAAAGAATGAGGTGGGCAACAGTAAGAGTTAAACTGAGGGAGGCGCACAGTATTTACAAAATTGATGTCTCTACAGCAAATCGTGGGGAATTATGGGTCAATGACTCTCCAGCATCCTTGGCAGACAGTTCTTCACAGTCATGTGAGAACATGGAAGAGGATTCTGTTTACAAAGCACATGTGGAGAAGGACTTCATTGCTTTCTGCTCCTCAACACCACGTATGTGTCTCTCAGTTGTAGACAAGGATTTGTGGGCCTAAGGCCACCTGTGAATGATTATCAAATATTAAGATAAGCCCTATGCAGCAATGATTAAGACACATTTTGAATGCTATCAAAATAATTTACATTTATCTCACCTCCTCTATGGGAACAAAAATTCTATATTTTTTGACTTTGTAAAATGATACTTTTATTATAAGTCCTGCACATTTTAGTCTAAAATATACCAAACATTAAAACGACCTAATTCAAACAATCTTATTGAGCATATGCCATTAAAAAACAAATGAATCATTCCATTTTCTAATAAATCTATTTAACATTTGGAATAGAATTTTATGGATCCTGGGACTGGCTACTCTATCTCATACTATCAACTCCAAACTCTTTTCTCCATATTCCCACTTAATGCTCTTTAGAGCAGTGTTACTTCCTGCCTCAGAAGGGTATGAATGTCCTTTAAAAGAGGTAGAAAATGATACTCTGGGGCTTAGTAGGCCTACTAATAGGGGATCAGGGTTTAGTCCTTGACCTCTAGGTAGTCGTCTTAAGAAGACTTACATTGGAATGTTCCTGATTTGAACATTTTTGTTTTAAGTCTTTTTTTGAAAACCTCTCCATGGAGTTTTAATTGACATACAAAAATATGTGTAATTAATGTATGTAGCATGAGTTGGGAATTAAGTACACTGCTGTGATGTTATAAACGTTTCCCTCCCCTCAAAAAGTTTCTTTTGGTTTGTTCATCTACTTTGTTTACTATACTCTGAGAGACAGTATGAATTTTACTCTGTAATCATCCTTGGAGCCAGGTGCCCATTTTTTGATGTTTACTATATGAACATGGGAAAATTACTTAACCCTTCAGAAAGTCTATTCTTTCCTCTAGAAATGTGATAATTCCAATTATCTCTCAAACTTCTCAAATCAAGGGAATGAATCAGAGGCACAGAATAAGTGTCAGTTCCAGGAATATAATACAATCATTATGCAATTTTGAGTTATCCGTTTAGTTAACCTCTGCCAGCTTTTTTATCCACTTTGCTAAAAATGAGTTAATTTAAATATATGTGTTTTCCTTAAACATGTCAAGTTAATTCCCAAGCTATGCTTAAAAAGCAAACTCATAAAACAAAAATGTAATAAAAAAAATAGTTGAGGCCACAGCCAAAGTCTTCTCACTCCTTTTTTTCACAGATACTGTATCCTGGAGAGACATCAGAAAGGGTTCTCTCTTCATTACAAAATTAATCACATGCTTCCAGAAATATTCTTGGTGCTGTCACCTAGAGGAAGTATTTCGGAAGGTAAGCTTCTACTTCTATTTCTAATGATATATTTTGTTCATAAAGACTTTCCTATGATTTTTATTTCAAGTGACAACAACAGATTTTGTCAAGCAAATGAGTGTAGAGCATTACCTGGTTTCTGCTACACAGGGCTTTATCATCTGATTTAGAAAAAGAAGGTGTCAATTCACTACAGCATCAGATCAATGTAAACCAAAAAAATATAAAACAGAAGCTTGTATGTTTTAGGCTATAAACTATTAAAATTCAAAATATGAAAAATATTTTGAATTAATATTTATTGCTTAATTAATTGGGCATTCTGCTTGGTAACTTGTTATCCTGGTGACAAAGGGGTAGAGGAGACATTGTGTCGTAGACTACCTAAGACCTACATTTTTGTGAGCGAGATGAATGTTAACAAGTAGGACATTACAGTAAACAAATGTGTCATTACAGATTGTGATACAGTCCATAACAAACAAAAAATAATATAGGATACTGAAAGAAAATACAGGAAAAGACAGTGTTTGAATGGAGGGGTCCAGAAATGAAGATTATATTTCCTAGCTCAGGGTGTTCTTAATTCCCTGCTCCTTCCCAATTTGTTTTCCTCCACAGTTCTGACCATCACTCATTTGGTAAATATTTTCTTTGCTTTTCTACCTCTATTTACTCACTTGAATGCATACCTCATGAAAGCAGGAATTTGCTCAACACCTTACTATGCTGGCACACAGGAATTAATAGTCATTCAATAAATAAATGCATGAAAAAATCAAGAGATGCTCCCCCTGCCTTCTTCTTTAGGGAGAAAGGTATTGACAATAAGAATATGAGAAGACGTGGTTGTTTTTAAATTCAAAACTGTAGAGAAAAGTAGCAGTCCAGTGGGAAAGGAGAATACACCTTTATTAGAATGGAGAAGATTGCATTGTAATGTGAGTTAGGGTCTCTGTAAATGGGAACTCAAGTGGTTGAGCCCTGTTGGGTGGATAAAAATTAAACACTGTAATCTCAAGGGCATTGCTAGGAGACTATTACAGAATCTCATTGGTCAGTCCATGGCAAAAAAAAAAAAAAAATATTCAGAGCTCACCTTGGTGGTAGGGATGTGAAAATTGTTGTGTCCAGGGTTTAAGGACAAAATTTTGGGTTCTGTGCCTTATTGAATTGATGACGTAGCCTTGAAGGTTTAAGGTGTAGGATACTTGAGATCCAGCTCAGATATGTAGAATAGAGATAAAAAAATAGAGAAGAAATGCAGGGAGAAAGGCCTTGGATTAGACATGAGATGAGAGTATATTCTAACATGGGGAATTACTTCTAAAGGTAGGGTGGCAGTGACAGGACACTGACGGGACCCCATGGTCTTGGTCCCTCAACCCTCGTAGCAACTTTCATTCCCAGAGATTTTTGGTTCACGGTGCAAAATATTTTCTGAGAGTGGCTGAGAATTATGTTTCATTTATAGCCTCTCTTTCTTTTTAGGTACAACTGTCATTTGAAAAACCAGATGTTAAAGCCCAGATGCCCACCATTGAGCGACTATCCATGACGAGATATTTCTACCTATTCCCTGGCAATTGAAAAATGTAAGTATCAGAGCTTTTGGCAGTCCTGGAAATTGAAAATAGTAACCATTAACGTTGCTGGCAGGTGAAATAAATGAGAGAGTAATATTGGTAGTGAGGCCCAATAACAAAAGACAGACAATTGGGTGGTCAAATTAGTGTTACTTGTTGCTGTAGTTTGGTGATTAGATTTCCGTTGTTCTTCTACATATACCCACCTGGATCCTCCTCCATCTCCACAATCAATTAATCAATCTGTCAATCAATCACGGAGATAAGCCAGACAAAGACAGAAAGGAATAAACAATAAAGGACCCAGGGTAGCAATTAAGAAAACAATACTGTAATCATGCTTCCATTATTACTTATACATCCTTCTCTCTCTCCCGCCCTCTCTCTCAAACATACACACACAAACACTCACAGACACTGAGGTACCAAACTTGTCTCAGATCCTGAAAAATACTAAAAACAGAGGAGATGACTTTGAGTGCAGCTATCACAGTACTGACACTGAGCTCCCATTACCAGACAGACATATCTAGGGCTGTAATGTCTGTGCTGATACAGATTCTGGTTCTCTGCCTTTTCTCACACTGTATATCACAGAACACTCAGCGTCTGCTCTCAGATCCTTAATTACTGCTTAGAAACTGCTGTAAGCGCCCATGTCAACACTTATACATTTTTTATAGTGGAGGGTGGAAGGTGCGGTCAAAATATTTTAGAATGGGCCCATCAAGTTTAGACCCATCAATTACTTTACTCACAACAGCTTTATATCCCACTATATAATAAGAATATATCAATCTCGCTCTCAGCATAATTTAAAGTATTTTTATAGTAAAGTTTATCTCAGTCCTTTAAATCTTTCTTCACCATCCTTTATCCCTGGCTTCCGTGTCCCTGCTCAGATAATTGCATAAATACTTCCTCATAATAGCTTTTATTGACTAGTTAGTACAATTGAACCACATTTTGGGATTGAGCTATTTGACTATTCTTTATCAAGCACTTACTATGTTCTAAGTTCAGTTCTAGAATCTTGGAATATACCAATGCACAAAATCTGTGTAGTCCTTGACCTCAGACAGCTCACACTCTAGTGAGTAGAGACAGACTAAATACACAAGTGGATATGTGTCAGAGAGTGATCAGAGCTAAGAAAAATAAAGGAGGTTAAAGAGATGAAAGAGATGGGTGCTGTACTGTAACAGATTATATAGGACAGTAGGAAAATATTGAAATCAGAACAACAAGTGGACTGAGTTGGTTAGTGAACTTTGAGATTCTATGCTGAAAAGGTGTTCCAGTGCAGGGACTAGCAAGTAGAAAACCCTGAGGCAGAAATGTACTCAGATATTTTTTTCTTTTATCTATTTTTTAAAGGTTTTATTGTTATGCTAATATAGTTGTCCCACTTTCCCCCCTCCCCCGCCCCACCAAAAAGCAGTGGGCTGGAGGAGAATGAGAGTGGGGAAAATGACAAATTGAGAAACATGGTGAAAAGCCTGATCATATGGGACTTGGTGATCCTGTGATAAATGTTCCAAAATTTTTATCCTGATGAAATTGGAAACCCTTTGACTCGAGAAATGAGGTCATCTATTTCAACTTTCCAAAGCCCACCCTGTGTACTTTCTGTGAATATACTAAAATTATCACCATCTGAAGCCAAGAGAAATGGCAAAAGCACATGGAAGAGGATGAAAAAAGAAAAAAAAATCATCATAAGGATGGTTGAGGCTCACTAAGAACTACTATTTTGATCTTCTGTTCTTTTTTCTTCTTCAGGAAATTACTGCATCCAGCCCTTCTTTATCAACTTCCAGAAGCACTTTTATCAGAATGGCACACATCTTTAATCTCTGCATTTAAATAAAAATGAAAACAAATAAACTGCATCTTTGGTTCCTTTTTCTTTTTTTAGATTTACTTTTCTTTTAAATAATATTTTTCAATTGTAATGAACATTCAATATATTTTAGTTTCAGTACACAGTGTAATGGCTAGACATTTATATAACTTGTGAAGTGATTCCTATCCCCCAATAAGCTTTGCACCTATGTGACATCATACATACTTTATCAATATTATTGACTATATTCCCTATGATGTACATTACATCCCACAATTGTTTTGTAACTACCAATTTGTATTTATTAATCTCTTCAACTTTGTTATTCAGTCCTCCCATTGTCCCCCTCCCATCGGGGAACAATCAGTTTGTCCTCTAGATCCATGACTTTGTTTCTGTTTTGTTTGTTTATTTTTGTTCTTTTTCCCCCCCTTTATTGAATTTATTAGGATGACTGTGGTTAATAAAATTATGCAGGCTTCAGGTACACAATTCCACAACACATCATCTGTACATTGTACTGTGTGTTTACCACCATAAGGCAAGTCTTTGTCCATTACCATTTATTCCTGCATACACCACCTTCTTTCCCTTGCAATCCCCACACTGTTGTCTATGTCCATGAGTTTGGTCTTTTTTTTTTCTTTTTTTTTTTCTCAATCCCTCCAACCCTCTTCACTGAATTTCAAATATAATGGTGGGTGAATGGAAATGAAGTAGAGGAAGCTAGCTGGATTTTCTAGCTTATGACTCATATAATACCTGCATTTCACTGAGTGAAGAGACTGGCCAGACTTGCCATCAGTAACAGTGTGAAAGGAGATGGTGCTGATACAGAAGAGCAGAACTGTAAACTGGTTAGCTTCTCATCAGTGTACTCAATCCCAAGGTCTACAGTGTCCTGAGAAGTGTTCTAACTCATTACTTAACCAGCATCATAGGTTTGGCTAATTTTTTCCTCAGTAAACTAACATTTTAGCAAATTATTCCCACTTACCTTTCTTTCTACAGAGTAAATATACTTTCTTGTTGATTATTTTCTTCCCAGATGTCTGCCTATTTCCAAACTTCAGGAAAATTTTATTCTTTCACAACCACTTGGCTATTGTCTAAAATAATTTGGTTTTTGATTGAAGATGGTATAACCTTGCTTTATTTATGTAGAAATACAAATATTATCAGCACAAGGACAGAAAGAGAATGGAGAGGGTCTGCAATGGACGAGAGAGAGTTAAAATTTCTGGGAGGGTGAACTCTGGTTGAGGAATTTTGGCAACATGGCTGTCAGAACATGTTTGGCAACATGTTTCTGAGTAAGGAGATGTACAACTTCTGTTACACACATGCAGAATGCTGAGTAAATATTTTAATATATAGCTGAAATGAGTTAAAATAAGAGGATACTCTAGGTATCAAGTATAACCACAATTGTCAATATTTATGATTATTAAGTTCATATCAGGATTATTTTAAGAATTTTTTTAAATTATATTTTATTAATTATGCTATTACAGTTCTGGGTTTTCTTCCTTTGCCCCCTTCCACCCAGCATTCCCCACTCCCTCAGGCAATCCTCTCACCATTGTTCAGGTCCATGGGTCATGTGCATACATTCTCTGGCTATTCCATGTCCTATACTGTACGTTACATCCTCATGGCTATTCTGTAATTACCTATTTATACTTTTTAATACCTTCACCTCTTCATTCATTCCCCCACATCCCCTGCTCCTGGCCACCATCAAAACGCTCTCTGTATACATTATTCTCTCTCTGTTCTTGTTTGCTTAGTTTGATTTTTAGATTCAATTGTTGGTTGATTTGTATTTTTTGCCATTTTATTGTTCATAGTTTTGATCTCCTTTTTCTTAAATAAGTCCCTTTAACATTTCATATAACAATGGTTTGGTGATGATGAACTCCTTTGGTTTTACCTTGTCTGGGAAGTTCTTTATCTGACCTTTGAATCTAAATTAGCTTTGATGGGAAGAACAATCATGGCTGTAGGTCCCTGCTTTTCATGACTTTGAATATTTCTTGCCAGTCCCTTCTAGCCTGCAAAGTTTCTTTTGAGAAATCAGCTGACAGTCTTATGGGAACTCCTCCATAGGTAACTAATCTCTTGTCTCTTGCTGCTTTTAAGGTTCTCTCTTTATCTTTAAACTTTGTCATCTTAATTATGATGTGTCTTGGCGTGTTCCTCTTTACATCTGTCTTGTTAGGGACTCTCTGTGCTTCCTGGACTTGCATGTCTATTTCCTTCACCGTATTAGGGAAGTTTTTCTTTTTTTTAAATAGATTTCCAATTTCTTGCTCTCTCTCTCCTCCTTCTGGCACCCCTATGATGTGAATGTTGGAAAGCATGAAGTTGTCACAGAGGCTGCTTATACCATCCTCATTTTTTTAGGATTCTTTTTTCTTGTGGTTCTGGTTGGTTGTTTCTTGCTTCCTTCTGTTTCAAATGATTGCTTTGATTCTCACCTTCATCCTCTCTACTGTTGTTTCCCTGTAAAATGTTCTTTATTTCATTTAGTATATCCTTTGTTTCTGACTGGATCTTTTTTATGCTGCTGAGGTCCTCACTAAGTTCTTTAAGCATCCTTGTAACCAGTGTTTTTATTTCTGCATCTGATAGTTTGCTTATCTCCATTTCATTTAGCTCTTTTTCTAGAGTTTTTATCTGTTCTTTCATTTGGGCCATATTTCTTTGTCTCTTTTTTTTGGCAGCTTCCCTGTGTTTGTTTCTCTGTATTAAGTAGAGCTGCTTTGACTCCGTGTCTTGGTAGTGTGGCCTAATGTAGTAGGTGTCGTATAGGGTTCAGTGGCACAGCCTCCCCTATCATCCAAGCTCTACCCTTTGTCTGGGTTGAGTACACCCTCCTCTTATTGAGCCTTGGTTGCTGTTGGCAGATGAATGGGAAGGATTTACCCAGGCCAGTCAGCTGCAAGGATTGGCTGTGACCACTGACCACCAACCTCTACCCTTCGTGAAGGATCAGCTGTGCAGGGGCAGGGTGGTGCTCCAATGTGGTCTGTAGCTGTCCACTGGCTGCACGGGCGCTGGGGTTTCCCCGGTGGTGCAGGTCAAGGTCAGCCCCCACCTGTGTTTTGCCTGGGGCCACCCTGCCTGAGCTGTAAGGCAGTCTGAGGTGGCTGGTACTTGTGCTTAAGAATTTTGATAATTGAAAGGATTTTATATATAAACAACTAATTTAACTTCCATAGCAACAGTATAAGGTAATTCCTATCAGTATTGCCATTTCACCTATAATAAAAGAGCATAGAGCTTAAATGACTTGCCCAAAGCCACACAGTTCATAGATGAACACACCAGGATTTGAATACAATTTGACTTGCTCTAGAATCTGACTTATTAACCACTGTACTGCATTGTCTCTGCAAAGCAATGAAAAACTGAAATGACAAAGTTCTGAATTCAGAGGTTTAACTGAATTTTGAATTATAAGGTTACTAGCAGTACAAAAATTCATGATTTTTATATTACTGGACTTAGCTTTCCTTGAGGAAACACAAGACACATCACAAAGATCCAAAAATATACACTATGGAGGCCTCATTCTCCTACTGCATGATGATAGTGGAAACCCAAAACAAAGATTTTCAAACATCACCACATAGTTGGAAAAAACACACACATGCACAAGCACATAAATTTATGTTTCTCATATATATACTAACTGTATATGTACATATATATACATACAAACAAAAATGAATAAATGAACCTAGCATTAAACTTGAGAAGTCAGAAAAATACTTATATCAATAATAAAATAGAAAAATTAAAATAACATTAAAAAAACAAAAAATCAATGAAATGGTAATGAGATAAAAAATATTGAGCAGATCACTAAAAGTGAAACCTGGGTTTTAAAAGGATTAATAGCAGACATTTAACAAGATGGAATATGAAAATTAGAATTAGCACAAAGACAGTATTGGTGACTAAAAAAAAAAGTACACTAAATACAAAGTACAGAAAAAAATACATGAAACTATCATATATAATAGAGATGGAATTCTAAATAAGTAATTAAAAAAATTAATCTATGAAGAAATTAAAAATAAACAAAACAAAAAAACAGCCCTGGCTGGTGTAGCTCAGTGGATTGAGTGCTGGCCTGTGAACAAAAGGTTCACAGTTTTGATTCCCAGTCAGAGCACATGCCTGGGTTGCAGCCAGGTTCCCAGCGGGGGGCACACAAGAGGTAACCACACATTGATGTTTCTCTCCCTACTTTCTCCTTCCTTTCCACTCTCTCTAAAAATAAGTAAATAAAATCTTTTAAAAAAAGAAAAAAAACAAATGAATCCATAAACATTGAATAGATTTACTTTTCTTTTTCACATCTACCTGAAAAAAAAAGTTAACAGGCACCAATGGTGTAAAGAAATGTCTTACAAAACTTCTACGAAAGTGATAAGTTCAAATTTATATAAATACTTTCAGGTAATGAAAAGAGAAGTAACCTTGTTAAATTCTTCCTGGCGCTAGCACAGAACTGATGCAAAACTAGAGAAGTGGAGTCCAAGTTAGAAAAGTGCAGGCTGATTTTTCAGGAATATTGATGGAACTATTCTAAATAAGGTGTTAGCAAGTCTTATAGTATTAATAATTTTTAGCGAGCTAGAATTGATTCTGGGAATGCAATTATGATTTAATAACAAATTCTTATGGTAGCACTTCTCAAATTAAGAGATTAAAGAAACAACTGTGATTTTTAAATATGTTTAGAAAGGCATTTAATAATATTCATAATTCATGTGATTGAAAAGGAAACCTCAGAAAAACAGGAAGAAAAGCAATTCCTTAATTTGAAAACATGTATCTAATAAAAGTTTAATAGCAAAATAAGAATAGAGAAAAACAACATGAGAAAATATATAGCCTTCTTGTGCAGAAATATTACAGTGTTCTTTTAAAATAAAATACAAGTAAAAAATAATTCTATTAAATATTGTAGTAAGATTCAGGAAAATAGAATCAAATGTAAGAAAGTCTGGAACACAAGAAATGAAAT